TCTTTCACATAATTGGTAATAATAGCTTCCATTTCATATCTTGAGAGGGAGGCGTTTCCAAAACTGGTCTTTACCTTTAAGCCCTAGCCCTAGGCTAGACCTATGGCTAAATGGTTTTATCTTATGGAAATCTAGACTCAATGACTTAATTGCAGAATACGACCAATTGTTAGTCTTCTGGGCTCAAATTAAGTTTTTGTCCACGAGGGCTCTTCCAAAAAAAATAGAGCCCCCGTGAGCTTTCTCTCTTTTAATACTTACAGGGGCTCTTTTTTTAATACAAATTTCCATTGAATTGGTACCCATGATAGGCTACTCCTAAATTCTTTGCTATTTCATCATTATCATTAATATTAATAATCAGCATTATTTTCTCTCGTCTTACAACTTTACATGTTATAACGTGCAGCTAATGGTCAGATCTCCTCTGTACAAAATTTCTGGTCCAAGCCTGTATCCATTCGCCTCCTTGCCAACAGATTTCCTTTTACTAATTTTAGCTTTCGGTTGATTTACTGGTCGAGGTTCATTATTTGCTGTGGCTATACTATTACTAGCTGCAAGGACCGAAACGTGGAGAAGTTTTTCATTGTGAAAATCGTGAATCCTGTGAAATAGACCTTCCAAAAGACCAGTAAATAATGAACCTCGACCAGAGGTAGGCCTACTAGAGGGTCAGTCAATCTCAAAGTCAATTTGCTGATCCATGCATTTCATGTGTTGGTTTTCGACTTGCTTCTTTCAGATATTCATTTGAATTTGATATAAATCTAGTCTATGATCACTCTTCCAAGCCATGTACTTATGATTAAATTTTGGAAGTCGATGACTAGATCTAGACAGATTTTGATTATCACGAGAATTCATGTCAAGAGTCAAGAATCTAGATAAAAGATAGATAATTATTAAAACATAATGTACTGTAGTGTAGGCCTAAGTGTAGACAGAAATCACGGAAATAACTGTGTGGTATGGGTCATTTTTTTATAAAACTGACATTCGTCAACATTCCCTATTAGCCATATATCTCCGATAAAAGGTAAAAGGTAAAAAAAATGTTAAAAGGTCAACGCACTCGTGACTGGTGGTCAAATTCACCAATGAGGTAACTACACTGTAGTGCTGGCTGTGAATACCGTATTGGCAAACATTTGCCCTCTAGCTTTATAACCATGAGGAATCCTGAGAGTCGATTTCCATTTCATCCCCTCCTACATGTAGCTTCTGCGAGTGTCTTGCTTGACTTATCCTTGTAGAATCTATATGTATTTGATGGTATACTGCTCTTTTTGTATAATAGTTGGTGATGTCACTGGGAGACATTTTCTAAGCCCTCTAAGTAGCTCTCGTGCCTCATCTGTCTTCATTGCGTTGTCATGTTTTTCTATGGCCATAGACACTGGAAATAGAATTGAATTTTGACCCCTGTTTGACCTATTAATTATAGGGGAGGTCGACCCAGATTATAATTTGGTTTTGATAAAAGCAGATTTTTGACCCCTACCAGAAATGTCCAGCAGTTTTAAGGGGGCAGCATAAGTCAAAATTGTTTTTAAATTTTTGAGGGAACACAAAAACGCATTCAAACCATGAAAAACTTGATTCTACAGGCTGGTCTCCTACTATAATACTAATATTTGGCACCACGGTAGTCCGTGAAGAAAACATAGTCTACTGTACTTCATCAGTATTATAAACATTTAATGTCTCTAAAAAAAAAAAAATCTTAACATTTTCTTGCTAATATGAAAATCACCCCACCCCACTAATTACCCCTAAGACAACCCCCCAACCACCCCCCCCCCCCCAAAAGAAAAAAAAAAAAAATTCCCCCTGTTAATTATAGGTGAGGTCGACCCAGATTATAAATTTGTTTTGATAAAAGCAGATTTTTGTTGTTGATGTGGGGGGGGGGGGGGTTGGGTTGTCCTCATGCATTAATTTACCCTGGGGTAATTGTCTAGGGTTAGATACAGGGTTTGCATTAGGCCTAAAATAAAAACTTGTTACATTGCCCTTTGGGTGCCAAAACATAAGTCGGTCGGTCAAAAAAGATTTTATTTTTTTAAACTTTTTTTTTGTCGCCCTTTTTGGGCCGATATTTTCAAATTTGAATGTTTTTTTTTCTTCTTTTCCCCGCCCTCTTTTAGCTGATATTTCTCATGTTTTAATGCTTTAATACATGTGCTTCAGCGTCATCATTCTATTGATATCTTTTTCACCTCATAATTATCCATGATTTGCACGAGTGATAATTTTGGAATAATTTTATTTAATGCATTTATATCCCATTTAAACAAACAGAATACATATATTTTTTATATTTTTATTCATTAATAACAAAAATCTATAAAAAAAACGGTTTAAATTTTTTTTTTTTTTTTTAAATGCCGACCGTAGATTTTCCCTACATGTATTGTATAGTTGACAAGAAAGATTAATGAAACAAATAAAAGTAATTTTCACTGATATTTCTTCAATTATTTTGTAGATGCCTCCTCCAAAAGCGGAAAAGGTTTGTGCTACCTGCCAAGAGAGAAACCCAAATGCCCAAAAAAAGTGCAAAAGGTGTGGGGCAGACCTGGTACAGTCCAGGAAAGCTGCCAAGGAGGACTTCTTGAACAAAAGTTCCTCCACAGAGATCAAGAATCTTCTTGAAAAAAGAGTAAGTATTATCAGATCTGCATCCAATGCAGTGCAGCTTCATTCCACATAGAGACATACACATTATTTACTATTAGGCAGAAGAATTGTCCTATTCAATCACCCTCACCCTCATGGATTCTCTCTAGCTTGAAAGTTCCTCTGAAAAAAATTCAAGTTCAAATTAAATGGACGTCAAGAGTTCTACAGGGCAAAGTGAAGAGAAGGACTTTTTAGGAATTATATTACATGTCGGCCATGCCTTATCATTTATGTCTAACAATAATTAAAAGAAAGACAACTTATTCCTCATTTCAAAATCTCATGTCTAAAATTGAGTAAGTTCATTCTGTTGCAGAGGAGATTTTATAAGATTTTTCTCCAATTTCTTGAGCTGGTTGTATTAAGTTAGTGGACATTAGCTGCAATTTGACATTTAAGTAAGGTGACCTATTGTCAATAATTGTTGTTATAATACATTTATACATTCTCTTAAAATAGAATTATATTGTAGTAATCTAGCTGATTGAAGATTTTGATAAAACGTGCATAGATCCCAGCAAGAGTAGATCCATAAACAATTCAAATGGGTTAAAAGTTAAATGGAATGTTTGTTTGTACTTGATAAGCTATGGGTTCACATGCCATATGTTGACCATAAAGTTATTACAATCTTTATGTGTTTTGAAGACTTGCAATTGTAAAATGTCATATTGCAAGCAATCAAAGAGGATTTTTGTTTGCATATTTCAATTTTTAAATTAAAGACAAATGTGGTGTTTTTGAAATAATATAAATACAACTGACTTATTGAACTATGGAGCTATGCAGAGCCCCAAGCATATTAACAATAGCTATAAAACAGGGAGCAGTTAGAGTGCCTTGTCTATGTTTCTTTTGTTTTGCCTAATCCTATTAATCCCATAACACCCTCCTATCAGTTCTATTGTGTTATATAGGAAGGAAAGGATTGAGAATAAAGAGCAATTCAAACACAAATTTATTTACAAAGTAAGCCTAATGTTTTTTGTTGTTGAGATGTGGTATTGAAAGTGGTAACCACTAACCCACCATAAATAAAAAAAAATTGTAATGTGATTAACTATTGTCAACCAACATCAATTTCTGGTGAATTCACCAATTCCTCATTGATTTTGTGAGTTAACAATCATTTTTTTTCTTCTTTCTTATTATCAGGCCCATCAATTGTGGGCAAACCACAACTACCATGTAGTTGTTTTGTATTTCGCTGATGCCCCTAAAAGAAAGCGCTGCTCATCATTTGGCACCCCAGGAAAGGCGGAAAGTTTTCGTCATAGCGCTCAAAAATCACTTATCCGGTCATATGAGGTCTTCATGAGGAAGGGTAAGCAGGGAATGAACTGGATCCCCCCCCCCCAAAAAAAAAAAACACAACAAAGATGGGAGGGGGAAGGGGATATAAGCATAACTTTACTTATTATATCTACATAAACAAGCATCACTCTTAGCTATTTTTAATGTTGTCATTAAAAGTTCAATTATATTTCTACATACGATTAAAATGAGAGGATTTGCGTCTTTAGAGATTTTAATAGAACTGGATTTGACTTTGTTCGATGGTTATACCCCCCCCCCCCCCCCCTTACTACAAAAAAATTCTGTCCCAATATATCCCTTGCTCTAATGTGCTTGCACTTCATGAATATGATGTTTTGATGATTTAAAAAAAAAAAATTTAATGTTGATTTGCCTGTTATGTATGCTTTTAAGCAATAGTGGGAATATTTTTGCCTTTTTGTGAATTCAAACAAAATTTTAATTGTCATTTATTCAATGGCATTGATCTGATGGGTCAATTTTTATTACAAGTTTACAACCATCAGTACATGTATAAAAACAGTTTGCAAGACTGAAAATTATACTTGTTCAGACTTTATGATCAAATGTCATCAAGCTTCGACAATATTTTCCATTTTCTAACATGACATTGTATCATTGTGACACTCTAGAGCTCAAAGATCTCTGCCCATTGGCAAGGGTTGTTGATGGTACCTTGTTGTAGATGAGCTAGCCAACTACAAGATTTCCAAATGTGAAACTGTTTAACTGAATTGAATATCTTTGGTTCTTTTTGCTCCATATAGATGTAGAGCCAGATACAGATGAGGAGGAGGAAGAGGAGGAGGAGGAAGAGGAGGAGGAGAGGAGGGAGGTAGTGGAGCAAGAACGTGAGGAGGAGGGACCAGTAGGAGAAGAGGAGGGACCAGAGGGAGAAGAGGAGGGACCAGAGGGAGAAGAGGAGGGACCAGAGGGAGAAGAGGAGGGACCAGAGGGAGAAGAGGAGGGACCAGAGGGAGAAGAGGAGGGACCAGAGGGAGAAGAGGAGGGACCAGAGGGAGAAGAAGAGGGACCAGAGGGAGAAGAGAGACAAGGAGGAGAAGAGGATGCAGCTGCTGGATCTCGTGCTGGCCAAAGTAAGAGTTGTTTGTTTTTAAATTTTGATCAGGGGCATTCTTACACTGAACACTACCAAACCTGATATTTCATTGTTATCTATGAGAAGAAAAACTTGCCGCCTTAAAGTCTCATAATCCTGTACAAAGTAATATTAAAACATGTTTGATACAAAAACCTTGCGTTATTAACTATTTAATATGACATGTATTACATGCGTCGTCTGCTCATGTACCACATTGGGAATCACCATTTTCACGGCCTAAGCATGTACCCCTTCCGAGTTGTGACATGTAAGCGGGTAACTGCATTAGGAATTGCCTGGATGTGTGCCCTTCCGCCATATGTGCATAAATGTACTTATTGAAAAGAGGATGATGTACTGCCAAGCGTTTGGGTGTCACATTGCCTCTGGGAAAGGACTCCAGAAATCCTTTCACTCGATTCCTAACAAAGTAATGCAACCAGAGTTAGTTCAGACAATGGGCTGCTGCGATTAAAGTTGATGGATTCTTAAAACAGATGCAAACACAGCCATCATGATGTGATCTATATACAAGTGATGCGTGTAGTATACGATTGTTATATATTTGCTGTAGTGGGTGCTCGATTTGAAGATCAACGAATTTCTGATTATTTTTATGTCTATTTTGCATTTATCAAACTAAAATGATTCATCAAAAACTAAATAACTGTATGAATTTTTGAAAAATTAATAATAAAGTAATAAATGCTCTAAAATTTACTAAACATTTCTGACAGAAATTAAATAAAACGACCACGAAAATTGACTGCTTATTTAGCCAGCCATCCTAGGTACATGTGTTATACCACTTGCTGATATCGCGCCCAGATGCAGTTTTTCCCTACTCCACTCCTATAGTATGTCACCCTCTACGATCGGCGGCAACACTTTCGAAACAATGGCTACACATACCCTAATTCAGCTACTCAAGGCTCTCCAATTTTTTCTCTTTTGGTGAAACTTTAATGTGGCTCCTAGGGGTATGTAGGAAGTTATTAATGCCCACTTAGAATAATCAATGTAGTTTGGGCTTCTCCTTTAATATTTTTGGTGAAAGTCTGCCACTCAAGATGTCATTTCACTTCAAATTACATGGCATTTGGAGTAAATGTTTGTCCTTTAATTAAATCATTGATATGCTTATAATTTGTCCTTTCTTACCATTATGAATACAGAACAAACCGGACAGGCTCTGAAGAGGGCAGGAAGCAATGAAGAATCAAGAAGGAAGAGGCGGAAGAGATGGACGAGGAGGAGAAAGGGGAAGAAGGAGTGTTGTTGTGCCGTTTGTGGAGAGGAGTGGGCAAGGAGTGCCCCAAGGGAGTTTTGGATAGAGTGTATGAAATGTAAAAATTGGACGCACGAAAGGTGTATTGAGGGTATTGAGCTTTCCCATTATATCTGCAGCAAATGTCCTAAATAAGTTAATAAATATGTAATACTTGACTTCCTTTAATACAACGTATTGTTGATATTTTGTAAATAGTTTAGTAAGTACATGAAGTTGAAGTATTTATCTATATAAGATAGCCGATGAGATGTGTCTTTTGAACCTTGATAAAATACTGTTTGAAATTGTTTAAAATCCCTGAAAAATCACACCATGCACTTACTGAAGTATCCAGTCATTTGTATTAAAAGTCTCCTCCTACTGAAGGTCATGCTGGTGACATTATGTTTTTGGGGTTGTCTGTCCATCGTAAATCTGTCAAGACAAAAGGTGTCCTGGCACTGGAATATGAAATTTGCCTCTGCTCTCATGTCAGCCGTTTAAAGAAAAGTGATACAATCAAGTGACCAAGAAGAACTTACCCTTCATAGCTCTTGAAAAGATTATACAAATTTGAACACATTTACTTTTTTTCCCATTCACTGAATACACATAGATGTCTAATAAAGTAATGCTTAATGACATATTTTTCATACTGTGAGGGTTAGATTAAAAAAGTGGTCAAACTCTGATGTCTGAGGTGTATAATGACATTCGCATGGATGAAAAAAAAAAGTAAATTATGCTGGCACTATCTAGACATTTATGAATACATATAACTCATGAATATTTTGTTAGACCAGTGCTATATTCTAACTGTCTATAGGGGGAAACGAGTATGATAAAACTGTTCACTGAGAAATGTTCACGTCTTTTAAAGCACCAAATGGTCATTTTTGGACTACAGTTTTTTCACGATACCAGAGACACTGGTGGCATGTATTGCCATCTAACTCAGATTTTTAAAGCTGGAAATATTGTTAAACAATGCCTTTTAGTTATTTTAGGCTGTCAACTTTAGACAAATGTGAAAGCATATATCTAACCTAAATGGTATTTTGTTGTGGTGGCTAAAATCTACCACATCTCTCCCTAGTGTTCACATATTGTTATTGAAGGTAATAAGTTTCATAGGTGTAGAGGGCGCTTTGTCTTTAGGGAACTTGTGAATTTTTTTTAAGCAAACACTTTCAATGCAGCAATCTTCTGAATTAAACGTCAATACTTTAATTTAATATAATTTGACCCAAAATATGAAATGTTCTTAAATGTTTTCACCTTTAAAGCCCCACTCCACTACTTATAGCTACTTGCACCCTCTATATAGTCAACAGTGCCTAATCGGTTACAAATACAAATACTAACCATTGTCTCTGTCTGTATGAAATTGTTGTGGTTGGTGACACAAGACCATAAGGGACATTACTTTTTCTTTGTCAAAAACATTTCTAGAGTTATAAAAACTTAACTTAAAATAAGCACTGTCAAGGACATATTCTGTCTTTTCATGCATATTTGATTGTGCATTAACTTGAAACAAATCTGGGGGGGGGGGAGTAGTATCTCATTAATGAACAACGCACCTTCTAAAGGACTAAATTAAGGTGTTGCTCTATTGTAAGCAAGATGCCCATAAATAAACAATTACTCATGTTTCCTTAAAGATTAAGCAATTAAACTAGATACATATCTGCTTGTAAAATGCTACTTTTAAAAAACTATAATGCTACTGATCAACATTTGTCTATTAACAAGTTATCACAAATCCCCCCCCCCCCCCCTTCAAGGTTTATTTATATTTCTTAGAAATTATGTTTTGTACATTTCTTGTACTTTGCTGTTTGTGCAGACTTGAACAAAATCACATTTTGCTTTCGTTTTGTAGTTCGTCATTTGTTAAATTGTACATTTAAATGTATAGTGTTTAGTTCAGGAAGGTAGGAAAACACTCATGTGGGCTTTTAAATTTTATCTCATTTTATATCCAAGTGAAAGTACATGTATGTCACAACACCACGCCTGGGTATCGCATATGCATATCTGTGTAGGGATTTTTTTTCCAAGTTCAGTTTTTATTTTATGTTGCCACTTTGCTAATTTAAAATCTGTATACTTTGTCTTATCATTCACACAGAATATGTTTCATGAATTTTCTACTAGTTCATTTTCATTACCAAAACCAAGTGTTACCTTTAACTATAATTGACTTGTGATGGATTTTAGAGTTCTGTACTCAGTGTCCTTAACCCTATATATCTCAGGGAGGGGGGCCTTAATAAGCCCCCCATCCCATCTAAATTTTTGACGATAACTATTTAATGCAAACAAAATATTGTGTTGAAATTGTATGACTTTTTTCTTTTGAGTCTCTCGCATCTTTTGAAACAAATTTTTTCAAAAAAATCAGACTTACTGTTACACAGTCACTTGACCTTTTGTCTTTGCATGTCATCCCGAAAATTGTTTATTTTCATGATTTGCGTTCAAAATATAAGGTAATCATTTTTCCAAAAAAGAGGTAGAACATTGGTTGTTATTTATAGTGTAGGTGTTTGTTTTGGGGGTCAAAATAGTTTAATTATAGTTAAAAATGAAATAAAACAATAAAGTACATAAGTTGAAAAAAATATGAAATTACCTATACATAACATGTCATAAAAAATAACCTGGATCTTTCCAATTTTTTGTTGGTATTATTCCAAATTGTCTAAAGAATATAAGTAATGAAAATGGATGTTACAAAATATGGAGAATATATGATTTATGGGTTTAAAAAATCTTTGTTTCTTTGTGTATCTTTAATAATCTTTATGTAATTAAATCAATGTTTTAGTCAGAGTAAAGAAATATCTGGAAGTATCAGACCCTTATCCTACATGTACATCCATACACCATTTGTTAATTATAGGGACTGTCACTGAATGTAACAGTGTCATTTTGTTAATCAGAGTAATTTATGATAGAATGGACGGGCCGAGTCATCCGACTTATGGCATTACCACCTTTGATGTACCGGTATATAGTGTTACTTTTTCCCTTTGCTATATCATTGTTAACTAAAGAATTTCACAACAGGATGATGTACATCATTATTAGATACTCTTTTATTGATCCATATTCAAAACATAGAATACGAGTTTATCAGAATGTTGTTTATATGCCACCGTTTAATAAATGCTGCCTGATTGTTTCAACCAACAACTTTGCAATATGAACACTGTCAATTTAAAGCGATTCCCTCTATTGCCTCAGCTGCTCTAATCTCCTGAAGTAACTTTCCAAAAAGTGGAAAAAAGGACAGCCTGGACAATTTTTTGTGTTGATTTTAAAGATATAAAAGTGAGTTCTGGTCATCAGATTGCATTGTGAAAGAAAAGGTGTGGAATGGATTAAAACAAGTTGATCATGTAGCATGTAAGTATTGGTGTGTACTGCAAAGTCCTGGAGTCATCAAACTTATAATAAATTTGGCCCAGTCTTGGTAAAGTAACAAGCACTGTACACAGAAAGATGTATATGGGACCACACAAATGGTGTCGGGGCTACTAACCTTGATTACTTCATTACTCAGACAGTATACATTTTCTACCAAAATTGTATGGCAAATGACATTTATTTTTAATCTTGGACATTTAGTGTAAGTTTCATTCGATTCTGTGAGAATGGGAGAGTGCAAGGTTATAAGATCATCACTTGGCTGATATGCATAAATGATTGTGATAGAGAGGTAGCACTACTTTCTGAAAATATAACAAAATTTTACAATTCCAAACTATCTTATTTTTTCCAATTTCAATATGTATATCAAATCAACTTTACAAGTACTTTGATATGCCCCTTTTAAACAATTATTGAGACATATGATTGCAACTTTGATAATTTGCTACAGGTAATATAGATTACTTGCAATTTAAAATTGATCAAAACTGTTCAGATTTTATTTTTCAAAACGTTGTAATTCACATATTCTTTATTCGCTTAGAATTCGTAAGCACATACATTGTGTATAACAACAATTCTAGATTACAAAATTGAAAACATGACATAAACAAAGTGCACCCCCCCCCCCCAAAAAAAAAAAATCAAAAATCAAAAATCAAAAATAAGTTGACAAAATGAAAACCATATGCATACATGTAACCTTCATGTGTCAACTTCAAATAATAGAAATGGTCTATAAGGCTACAAGTTGACTCCTCCTGAAATCACTAATTGTTTTAATGTTTTAATTCAAGAACAAGAAATGTTGGATGATAGTTGATCAAATGACGTAATTGTAAAGGACAAAATATATCAAAGCATGTAATTTCTAAGGCATTGTCAATTTTAATTCCCAAGTTATACAAATATATAATTTAAGAATTTCTTTACAGGTCACATACACAGTGCACAAGCACAATCGGGTGTACAGAGTATTACTTTAAAAAAAAAAAATTCTTTCAAAAATAAGTTACTTGTACCCATAAGTTAGATTACCAGTAAACAGAATGTATACCCGCAACTTCTCATTGGAGTTAACAGATTTACACCGATTCCAATTCGCCAATGTGGAATCACTAGAACTGTACTATCAAGTTGTTTTATCTTTTATTCGCCGAGAGCTGAATATAGAATTCTGAAGAATAACTCATTATACTCTGTATTACTATTCAAATTGCAATTAAATTTCCAGTCGAATTCCGAACAATTTATTCAAATAGACCCAATGGTCCATATTTTGGGTGACTTATATTATTAGAAATAGTTTTGAAGTCTACGCCCCCACCGATTGTTACTGGCTTGTGCCTAAAGCTGGCGAATCATTTTGCAACTTGCACCTGATTGGTTGAAACTTCACTTCCTACCAGCCGGAAGGACCAGGTAATAAACCTGTTTCTTCTTGGAAATGTCTTGACCAGTGGATGGTTACTTTCATCCCCAGTCACCGTTCTTTTACCTTTTATGGGCACAAGGCATCCTTTTAATAGAAAATCCCAAGAACTTTGACTCCAGACTACTGTGTCATTTGAACAGCGCCATACTTTTCATTATTTACTTAGAAAATGTTTAGCTGAAGTTTGCCTCTTTCTTCCCTAAAAGTTTTGGAATGTTCTGTGTCAAGACAGTCCTACTAACAAAGATCATATTCAGTTCATGTCTTGACATTATTGATACATAATAATCATAAAACATAAATACAAACAATATACATCGATCTTTGTTGACAAGAAATGTGTTAAAAAAAATCATAATACCTTTATATCCATAGCATACAATGAACATAGTCTGAGAGTTTTGAAAGGCGTCTCTCAACACTATCATCAGAGTTTCAAAATATACAATACAAATATTCAGTGTCATGTCTTGACATTATTGATACATAATAATCATAAAACATAAATACAAACAATATACGTCATCTCTTTGTTGACAAGAAATGTGTTTAAAAAAATCATAATACCTTTATATCCATAGCATACAATGAACATAGTCTGAGAGTTTTGAAAGGCGTCTCTCAACACTATCATCAGAGTTTCAAAATATACAATACAAATATTCAGTGTCATGTCTTGACATTATTGATACATAATAATCATAAAACATAAATACAAACAATATACGTCATCTCTTTGTTGACAAGAAATGTGTTTAAAAAAATCATAATACCTTTATATCCATAGCATACAATGAACATAGTCTGAGAGTTTTGAAAGGCGTCTCTCAACACTATCATCAGAGTTTCAAAATATACAATACAAATATTCAGTGTCATGTCTTGACATTATTGATACATAATAATCATAAAACATTAATTTAAAAAAAATATACATCATCTCTTTGTTAACAAGAAATGTGTTTAACAAAATCATAATACCTTTATATTCATAGCATACAATAAACATAGTCTGAGAGTTTTGAAAGGTGTCTCTCAACACTATCATCAGAGTTTCAAAATATACAATACAAATATTCAGTGTCATGTCTTGACATGCATAACAGAAGTCATAGCACAAATTATCTTAGTTATAGTTTGGGTAAAGCTCCAATGGTCCTGAAATTTAAAGTTTAAGTTTGTCCAGGATTTAATATATTTGGGGCCAGATTACACATCAAGGTTTTAATCATATACAGTTTCCCAAACTATTTGTGCAGATTATGTCAACAGGGTCAATTGCAGGATTTAAAGTGATTTGTCTGTAGATCCTATTTTTTAAAAACATTTTTAACAAATTGCTGACAGGTGAAGTTGAAGAAAACCTCACCCCAAGAAATAATATACTTATCCTTACCCATTCATCTACAATATTTCCCACCAAAGCGTATGAGAGAGGTATAAAGCAAGATATTAATGTACAATTACTCAGCAAAACATGGGCATTGCCATTTTAATGTGACGTAATATGCGAAGTCATTAATCTTAAAATGTATTCAAATTTATGGATGCTTCTTCCTTTCCAGTGTTTGTGTGGCGATGAAGCATTTTATTCACCTGCTGTTATCTGTTGTACTGTAATCGTCATAATTGAAATTGCATTAATAAATTGTGTTCTTTTAGGGTGGAAGTTTTGCATGAATGAAATTTTTAAAATTCAACTATATTTTAGTATTTAAAAATATGGGATTCAATTTTCCTCTATATATTTTTCTCCTAAGCTATGATTTTTCCTCATTGAAAACGTCTTTGCAACTAAAGCTTGGTGCACATTCACCTGTTATGTCGCATTTTCGAGAAAATCGTTGCGCCATGCACGTCCTGCTAAAAGCTACACTTAATTATGTCAGGTATATCTTCATTTATATATCTCTTGTACACTTTTGTAAGGAATTGTACATAAAAGGGCAGGAATGAGGCATCTCATTTTCAGAATAACTGCACCTGTTCCTTGGGGTGATGTTACCTTTAACCCAATATGCAATTTCATGATATTTCTTTGATATGCATATAATTGTACTCCTTTGGGAAGTGCATACACCTCATAGCAGCAATTCCATGTACCATCAATTTAAAGGTAGTGTCAACAGTTTTTACTGGGTCATGGCCATGGATTCACTAAAATTTTTACATTCATGTTCTACATCAGGAATGAAGACCATATTTATATTATAATTTGTGCTCTTGGTATCCTTCTATTCATTAGATACAAAAGAAAATGTAAAATAAAGAAAAATCTAATGTTGGTCTCTGTGGGGAACAAAAGTACTAAAAATGCCCATAAATCACTTCAATTTATTTTTGTTCATGAAATATTTGGTGGCGAAGCTTCCCTTAATTATAGCAACTCTTTATACCCATTACAATTTGGACTGATTTTAGATTATTGCCCATTTTACAATTTGATAATGTTTGATACATTATACTACCTTTAAAAACATAACATTATCTGGGTAAAAGTTTCTGCAAATTGTGATTTTGTTTTTCTCTTGAAAATGACAAATATTAATGCCTAATTTCATTGAGAACTCTCTCTACACTAGGAAATCCTTGGTCTGCAGCAACCGAAGCAATTTCATTGAAAACCTGCTCCATAGTAGGTCTTTGTGATGGAGAGTTCCTCGTGCATTTCTCACTTATTTCCGCTACTGCCAAAGCCATCTTTTGTTTACATGCTATTATGAATAGGCACTTCCCAAAGGAATAGACATCGCTAGCTGTTGTTGGGCAACTTGAACGAGAGAATACTTCTGGAGCACAATATTTGGAACCTGATGATTTAACTTCAGTTATCTGCAGTTGGGTAAAGACCCGTGCTGTTTGTACACAACATGCCCGTGAAAAATTGTCCAGAAGACCAACTCTGTAGCCCTTGAGTGCAGAGATCTGAATATTATCTGGGCATATCTGGTTGTGGATATACCCATTCAAATGCAGATCTCTGACACTAGTTGCTAATGAGAGACAGATGAAAAAACCGTTTTCCTCGCTTATCCTAGAGCATTTGCGCTCCATTGACAGCGTTTTGCACCGGTCATACCCAGCACCATAGGAGTACACAAGTATTGGCTCTCCTGTGAAATGCTTCCAATTGTACAGCACTCCATATGGTGTGGGTATGAACGGCACATTACAGTTTCTCACTAGCAACTTGTACTCAAGGACTGCAGTGTTAGCTATCTTAAGAAAACGTTTATAATAATAAGGAACACCATCTAACCCAATGGACACATAGTATGCCAGGTGGGCATTACATCTTATCAATTCAAAATCTGATACATCTACATCCTTATCTGTTATTACATTAACTTCAATTATGTCTAACTCTACTTGGTGGGAGGAATATGTTTCACTTAAAAGGCTATTTTCAACGATGGAGGATACCCGCTGGCTGACACATGAGGATATATTTTCATGAGTACACAACCTGTGTCTGTATTGTATATTTTTGAATTCTGCTGATAGTGTCGAGAGACGCCTTTCCAAACTCTCTTCATACGTCTGCTTATTTTTCTCTGTGGAATGGCTTGCTCTTTGTTCCTTGCTCTCTTTTCTTTTTACAGCTGGCCATCTGAAACACCCCTATTAGGAGAAATGAAAATGGAAACAAATAAAATATACCGGAATTATATGAAATGTCAAATGATTATCAATGAAAACATAAATGACCTCATTTTTTAAATGTGTTTCTGAAATGCCACAAATACTGATCATACTCTAACCAAGAGAATATGCATGCAGGAAGTGCAAGATTTGTAAAAGTTTTATTTGAGCACCAGTTCCTGGGAATATACCATATATGATTTTCTTTCAAAGTTAAGTTTGTACACTGGGCGATTATTAAAGTTATTTTCCTTGACTTTTCATTTCCATTTCCATTTATTTCTTCCTGTCCATTGTATTTGAGAATTACAAGTGGATTATGTACAAATATATTTACTACATCTTAATATGAATTATTATAATACTATAAAATGGCTTGATATTTTTTTATTTAAAAAACAATAAATAATGATAATAAATTCAAAGGTGAATGAGTAAAATCTTAAGTCATTGTTGTCAAACACTCGTCTGAAGAATAAAACATCATTTTTCAGGAGGTTGGTTTGAAGAAATTCTAATATAAATTAAAAGAAACACACAATTTGCTTCCATCAAAGAAGTCATCTCATTCATGCGAAGTGATTCTGGCATGACAAAAGAAAGACACATTGAAATTATTATTAATTGTGATTTCTCAACCTGAAATAATTATTACTTGTGAAGTGGCAAAAGAGAGCTTAATTAATAATGCTTTTGAAATAACTTCATTCTATTTAGGAATCCATTTTTTTTCTTCTTGTGACATAAACAGTATGTTATACACTTACATCCATATTTATCATATTTTGTTAATATAATCATTAAAATATACTGATTTTCACCAAATAATAGTGTTAAAAAAGGGTAATTCCTGAAAATGGGCAGGAAGAATGTTCTACACAAACAGAAAATTGTGTCTAATTTTGTAATTATAAGAAGGAAAGGAAATCACGGACAGATCAAATAAGGAATTATAACTATTTTTTCTGCTTTAATAACTTTTTCCTTGTTCACATGACGAATACTCAATAAATTGAAACCCCCATTTGACTTTCACCACTCCTTGAGCTAAGCCTAAAGTAAACACCACCTCCATAGATTAAGAATAGGAGTGATAGGTTTGAACTTACATGTATATCTCTTCAGATTGAATATACACTCGACAGGCCATTGCAATAACTGCATAGGACGTATTGAAAATTTAAAACACTTTCTCACTGAATGCCCAAAGTACATTATAGAAAGAGCTATGTTACTCGTAGAAACTATACATCCACAGGAAATCACGACACTACTTAAAGTTTCAGAAATAATTAAACAAAAAGCAATAGTTCGCTTTGTTTTAAGAACAAAACGGCTGTATCAAAACACTTATTCCCCCCCCCCCCCCTTCTTATCTTCTCTTTTCCTTTTTCTTTCACCAATAAAGCCCACAATACTTGTAAATAATTTGACCATTTAAATTTTCTAATAATTCTGTGATCACCCCCATCATCACATGCCAGCTGGCACCCCCTCACCTATGCCGGAGTGACCTAGGTTTAAAGCCGGAGTGACCTAGGTTTAAAACCGAAATTCTGCAAAATGTACCTCAAAGACTGGTAAGATGGCAGATGGCATTTTGTAAAGGGTGGGGTTGAGTGCGAAGTACACATGTGCATACAGAGGGGATATTTTAGCACGCATGCACGCATAAACACAATTATGTACAACTTGCTAGGCCGTCTCTTTCCAAATTTATTAATTTATATCATTTTCTATTTAAAAAAAAAAGAATATAAATGAAAATAAGCAGAAGGAAAGGGGATGGAAAGAGAAAGAATCCTAAAAATAGTCATGTAATTGTACTTACATGTATGTATAAATATACATGTATATAAATAATTCATTAAATAGTCAACTGTGACTGATTGCCAAACAAAGCCAAATCAAGAAAGAAAGCTATACAATATAGTACATGTATAAATTCCATCCATCCATCCATTCTAATTAAGTCTCCAAAACATCAATATTCTACTATCCTATCGCGGAAAACAGGTAACCACCCAGTTTCAGGTGCAAACACTTAAATGTAGAAATAATTGTGTCTTTTTTTTTATATCAATAGACCATAGTCCTAATTGCACATTCCTAATTATATTTCTTTCTTTACCTAAATGTATACCTCTTTCTGTATCAAAAATACAATTTTTCTTTTTGTACATTCTTTACAAAAAAAGGTATATATTTCTTCTCAATAGGTGGTGTCACACAGAAAAATCCCTTGAAAAATCCTTTCAAGGGAGAATTTTCTTGCTTCGTTAGAGGATTTTTGATGGGATAATTGATGAAAGACAGCAATTAATAGGATAACTAAAATCCGTATTTTTGGCCTAGGTGTGACACCGCCTAATAATGCTTACCATAATTTGCTAATGTACAATTATATTTAAGTATTTAAAAATATTGAATTCAATTTTTCCTCTATATATTTTTCACCGTAAAAATAGCAGACTTGGAACTGGAAATCATGCAAGCAATCCAAAGATCATTTGCAAAGTTAAGGCTAGTAAAAACAATACTTAATCAGTGCAATGGTCTCGATCACTAATTCTACAATGCTCACATAAATGTATTTACATTCATTGTAGTAACAACTATCTATCTTGAATGTCAATATAATATGCCAAAAATGTAGACAAATAATTGAATACCGTAGAACAAAAATAAACTTACTGTTTGAGGAAGGGGTCCTTGAGAAGTGTCTGGTGTCTCATCAGTCAGCAAATTAGCCTACAACAAAGAAACAAGAATTCAGTAAAATACATTTCATTTAACATTAAAGATGAAGTTGAGTTCTGGTCATGCGATTGCATTGTGAAAGAAACGGTGTGGAACCGACCAGAAAAGGTTGATCATCTAGCATATAAGAATTTCTGTGTATTGCAAGGTTCTGGAATCATCAAAATTGTAAGAAATTTGGCCAAGTCTTGGTAAAGTTACAAACACTGTACACAGAATTATGTATATGGGACTACACGAACACGTGGCGTAAAAATCCCACCCCCGAGTTTTACGATGTTACATGACATATTTAGAATATGAAGGCATTTGAAGAGCCATGCTTTTCAGGGAACATGTCTTATCTGATGTTCTTCCACACTTGCATAATAAGAATGAGTAACGCTCACAAATTATTGTTCACCTCTTCCCAGAACTCAACCTTCTCTTTAAGTATATCAATTATAAAAGCTTTAAAAATCATGTCTTTAATTTGAATTTTCTGAGGGAAGATGTCAGTTTTCCAACACACCTAAAAAAAAAATCATGGGAACCTGAAAACTAGTCTAAATTCACACATATTTTCAAGAAACACGATGATATGGGATACTGCAGCTAGTATATTTAGATCAACAGTCACTGAAAGCTGTGCATATAAAGCATGAGGATGACATTGGACTGGAAATCATGCAAGCAATCCAAAGATCATTTGCAAAGTTAAGGCTAGTAAAAACAATACTTAATCAGTGCAATGGTCTCGATCACTAATTCTACAATGCTCACATAAATGTATTTACATTCATTGTAGTAACAACTATCTATCTTGAATGTCAATATAATATGCCAAAAATGTAGACAAATAATTGAATACCGTAGAACAAAAATAAACTTACTGTTTGAGTCGGGGGTCCTTGAGAAGTGTCTGGTGTCTCATCAGTCAGCAAATTAGCCTACAACAAAGAAACAAGAATTCAGTAAAATACATTTCATTTAACATTAAGTATATCAATCATAAAAGCTTTAAAAATCATGTCTTTAATTTGAATTTTCTGAGGGAAGATGTCAGTTTTCCAACACACCTAAAAAAAAAATCATGGGAACCTGAAAACTAGTCTAAATTCACACATATTTTCAAGAAACACGATGATATGGGAGACTGCAGCTAGTATATTTAGATCAACAGTCACTGAAAGCTGTGCATATAAAGCATGAGGATGACATTGGACTGGAAATCATGCAAGCAATCCAAAGATCATTTGCAAAGTTAAGGCTAGTAAAAACAATACTTAATCAGTGCAATGGTCTCGATCACTAATTCTACAATGCTCACATAAATGTATTTACATTCATTGTAGTAACAACTATCTATCTTGAATGTCAATATAATATGCCATAAATGTAGACAAATAATTGAATACCGTAGAACAAAAATAAACTTACTGTTTGAGGAAGGGGTCCTTGAGAAGTGTCTGGTGTCTCATCAGTCAGCAAATTAGCCTACAACAAAGAAACAAGAATTCAGTAAAATACATTTCATTTAACATTAAGTATATCAATCATAAAAGCTTTAAAAATCATGTCTTTAATTTGAATTTTCTGAGGGAAGATGTCAGTTTTCCAACACACCTAAAAAAAAATCATGGGAACCTGAAAACTAGTCTAAATTCACACATATTTTCAAGAAACACGATGATATGGGAGACTGCAGCTAGTATATTTAGATCAACAGTCACTGAAAGCTGTGCATATAAAGCATGAGGATGACATTGGACTGGAAATCATGCAAGCAATCCAAAGATCATTTGCAAAGTTAAGGCTAGTAAAAACAATACTTAATCAGTGCAATGGTCTCGATCACTAATTCTACAATGCTCACATAAATGTATTTACATTCATTGTAGTAACAACTATCTATCTTGAATGTCAATATAATATGCCAAAAATGTAGACAAATAATTGAATACCGTAGAACAAAAATAAACTTACTGTTTGAGGAAGGGGTCCTTGAGAAGTGTCTGGTGTCTCATCAGTCAGCAAATTAGCCTACAACAAAGAAACAAGAATTCAGTAAAATACATTTCATTTAACATTAAGTATATCAATTATAAAAGCTTTAAAAATCATGTCTTTAATTTGAATTTTCTGAGGGAAGATGTCAGTTTTCCAACACACCTAAAAAAAAAATCATGGGAACCTGAAAACTAGTCTAAATTCACACATATTTTCAAGAAACACGATGATATGGGAGACTGCAGCTAGTATATTTAGATCAACAGTCACTGAAAGCTGTGCATATAAAGCATGAGGATGACATTGGACTGGAAATCATGCAAGCAATCCAAAGATCATTTGCAAAGTTAAGGCTAGTAAAAACAATACTTAATCAGTGCAATGGTCTCGATCACTAATTCTACAATGCTCACATAAATGTATTTACATTCATTGTAGTAACAACTATCTATCTTGAATGTCAATATAATATGCCAAAAATGTAGACAAATAATTGAATACCGTAGAACAAAAATAAACTTACTGTTTGAGGAAGGGGTCCTTGAGAAGTGTCTGGTGTCTCATCAGTCAGCAAATTAGCCTACAACAAAGAAACAAGAATTCAGTAAAATACATTTCATTTAACATTAAGTATATCAATTATAAAAGCTTTAAAAATCATGTCTTTAATTTGAATTTTCTGAGGGAAGATGTCAGTTTTCCAACACACCTAAAAAAAAAATCATGGGAACCTGAAAACTAGTCTAAATTCACACATATTTTCAAGAAACACGATGATATGGGAGACTGCAGCTAGTATATTTAGATCAACAGTCACTGAAAGCTGTGCATATAAAGCATGAGGATGACATTGGACTGGAAATCATGCAAGCAATCCAAAGATCATTTGCAAAGTTAAGGCTAGTAAAAACAATACTTAATCAGTGCAATGGTCTCGATCACTAATTCTACAATGCTCACATAAATGTATTTACATTCATTGTAGTAACAACTATCTATCTTGAATGTCAATATAATATGCCAAAAATGTAGACAAATAATTGAATAGAACAAAAATTAACATACTGTTTGAGGAAGGGGTCCTTGAGAAGTGTCTGATGTCTCATCAGTCAGCAAATTAGCCTACAACAAAGAAACAAGAATTCAGTAAAATACATTTCATTTAACATTAAGTATATCAATTATAAAAGCTCTAAAATCATGTCTTTAATTTGAATTTTCTGAGGGAAGATGTCACTTTTGAAAACAGAATGCAATTCAAGAAAGAGAGAGAGAGAGAGACTGAAAGTCACACTGTTCTTTAAGGAATCTTTATCAGTATGGTTGAACAAGCTAGGTGAATTGTCAAAACAATTATACAGTGCGAGTAAAAAAAACGTTTACACCTAGAAAATTGCTAATTATTTTAAAAATCATCTATGAACAGTAAATTATTAAAAATCTCATGAAAGAGTGTTTTATCCCAAATCATTTGGTATCATTTTTGTGTGGTATGTGTTCACGCTTGGATGAACAGGAGTCATTGTTTGTGAGAGTGCAAAAATCGACTTGCGCCAAAGTGATGCCTACAGTATGTATTATGTTGAGATTAGCGGAGTGAGAGAATAATTATTGAATGTATCAAATGAAATGCATTGCATATGCTGTTTGCAAAGGGCAAAGTCACACACACCCACAAACATGCGCACAAATGTTTGTTGATATTCAATATTTGATATGTGAGGCATGATTAATTTTGTTAGGGATGTTATTTGGATCTCCAAAGACTGAATTAATACCCAAATCCCAATTGTTTATTCAAACATCACATAATCAACTTTGGCGCAAGTCGATTTTTGCACTCTCGCAAACAATGCCTCCTGTTCATCCTAGCATGAATACATACAACACAAAAATGGTACCAAATGATTTGGGATATAACACTCTTTCATAAGATGTATAATAATTTACTGTTCAAAGATGATTTTTTTTTTTAAATAGCAATTTTCTAGGTGTAAACTTTTTTTGACTCACACTGTATAAAAAACATTAAGAATTAACAGGGTTAACATTAACATTGATGTAACAATCCTAACTCTCCTATTCAATACTACAGACAAATTTGTACAGGAAGAGGAATTTCGAAATAGTTTTCTTTTTGCCAGTGTCACAAATCAGGTGTCGGGATGCTCATCTGACTGTAAATGAAATGCCTAAAACCCCTGAGCTTCAGGGGGGTTCGGCCCCTAGACCCCATGCCAACTTACGCTCCACTCGCTTCGCTCACATATGCTCTACCTGATCATAAATAATTTAGCCCCCCGAGCCGGGATTACTCTCATATACAAATGCTACACAAATTTGTACAGGAAGAGGAACACCTGCATTAAAATGATAATTATCTTCTCCCAAAAAGAGGAATGTTCCTCTTTAATCTGAACAATTGGCATGTATGGTAATGGATAACTCCTATATCTCCCTCCCAGTCATTCACCTTCACCCACAATCCATGATCTAAAACAGAACCCCATTATCCCTAGACATTACCCAATTATTTATAGACACTGACCCCATTATCTTGTTATAAACATTTGACCATTGATGACCATCCCAGAGAGTTATAACTTCAAGTAATGACATTCCAAGAACTATGACTCATTGAGTAACGAAGCTGTGACATCATAACAATCTATTTTAAGGATTTCTCAATTTTTTTCTTCATTTTCCGAAAAAGCTTTAAAAATGATGTCCTAATGTTGATAACCAATATATGTTAAAGGTAATAGAAAGTTTTTGGCAATTCTGAAAAATTGGCTGGATAGAGATTCTTTACAATTTTGATGCATTTGTATGTCCATGTAGTTGTATTAGAAGCACTACAAAAATTTAGCCCATAAAATATTGAATATCAAAATTTCAAATAGTGCCTACGGCCATACAATGGTAGCTGCAACCATAAAAATCTCAGAATATGTAGATATATAGGCTAATTTCCAAACAAAAATACCCAATTGGTCTATTTTAGTCAAGAAACATTGTTTTATATCAAAATTAATATCTTGAACTTGAGAGGGAGCTATACAACATACAGAGTTTATTATTTACAATTTCATCACTTTAGACTCGATTTCAACCGCGACCAACGATTACTGAATATTGTAGGATATGCTTCCAATATGTTCATATAAACCAAATTCACGACCCCATACCAAAACTTTGTATTACCGTATAAAGTATTGGCTGAGAAATGACCATCTGAATAAATATATTTCCTATAGGAACTCAGTGTTACATTGCTCTGGTTCATAACATTATGAACCAGAGCAAATTAACACTGATTTCCTATAGGAAATATATTTATTCAGATGCTCATATCTCAGCCAATACTAGAAATATCCAATTGATTTTCGATATTTGGACATTATTTTTGATGCTCTTTTGGAAAAAGAAGAAAAAAAAGAAAAAAATTCTAAAAATAGATTTTTGATGACGTCACACTTTACCACTCTATAGGCTCACCCCAAGTCACTGGCACTCTCCATTGCCACCCCTTAATACCATATCAACCCTGATAGACAGTTTAAAGGGCAAGTCTACTCCAAAAATTAATAATTATGAATTTTTGATTACATGAAAAACCTTAAAAATCACAAGAAAAATCGGCAACTCACCCATAAGTCTGTGACAGAAAATGTTGGTAGTTTTTTTAGTAAAGGTGAAAATTGGAGGGGAGCTCGCAAGATATGTCGCAAGGTTGCCAATTTCTGTTTGATGATCACATCTTTAAAAATTCATAACTATATCATTTCTAATAGGTTTTTGTACACCCATTAATGGTATTTCTATCAAAAATATCTAAAATTATGACCTTCTGCTCACGAAACTAATGATCATCTCACTTTGATCTTTAGAGTTGATCACATTTCATGTGTAAAAGTTCTTTGTGGTGTGATCGAATGTTCCAGTTCTAATTTTAGAGCAAATTTAGTAGTCAAGCATGGGATGGGGAAAATTCCATCAATCTTCTATTAATATTTGTTGTGACGTATGGTCAGCCAAAAAAAAAATTCAAAGAGCATAAAAGATCTGTCAAGCTTCTTGCCTGTTCTAATCAAAACTTTATCAGGGACATCTTGCATTACCTAAAGAATTTAATGCAAGTCAAAGATTTAAAAGTCAAACAAATTCATTGATTCTTAATGTTTAGTTACAAGAGACCAATGGTATTACTGGATGGAGTTTTTTTTTTCTTCTCCCCTATTAACTTTCATGAGTACTTTCATGGATTTATCAATAAAGCTATCGTTACCCTATTTCTCTTTCATCTTTTTAAATACGTAAACATTTCATGAGTACCACTGATTTATAAATTAGCCATGCTGGTCTATTAAAAAATTATCATTACCACATTACGCTTTCTTCTTCTCCTCTCTCTTTGCTTTCTCCTTTTCTTTTCTGATGGATTCTCCTGAAAAGAAGACAACAACAAAAGTTAAATCATCAACTTGCTTTGTCAGAGAATGGAACATATCAATGTTGAATCCAAATAGCTCCTAAGTACATCACAAATTGCATCCAATCTACCATGCTCTAATGTAAACACTGAAACAGACTCTCAGATTTAAATGATTATTTTCTCTATACTGCTAATATGGGTATTTACAGAAAAAAAGAAAGAAAATATACAACGATGTAACCTATACTGGTACTTTTAAATCTCATAATATCAATATCACTTTTTTAAATACTTGTTGTAATGAGAACTAGATTGTTCTTTGCGGTGTCACTATCTAGTGTGAGAATATTGATCAACTTTCAATTGTTTCTTATGATATCAAACTTATTTCCTCTACTAAATAAAGATGCCAAAATTATGTTTTCTGAAATACATTACAGCAAGGAAAATACAGTTGCATTATTACCCTACTCTTTTCAAAATTTGAATGAATGTAATATGTTCTTAAAACAAATAAATAAACAAATACATAAATAAATTGATATACCAGTGAAATATAAAGTAATACATGAATTACTTTATTGTAATTATTTAGTAATTGGACCAAATATGACAATAAAATCCAGCCTGGAATTCAAAACAAATAATTGATTTGCAACTAATGACACTTTAAAAGCACTGAAGAACAAGATACTTACTTTTGGGGTAAGTGATCCTTGATATGCAGCTGGCTGACTTGAGGTGCATGGTGCCTCTACAGAGACCAATGCCTACAAATAGGAAGAACAAAACGAAGAACAAAATTCAGCATTTTGCGATCCTCATTTACATAGGTGTGAATCCTCTTTTGGCATAAATGTACATATATTTTGGTAATCTGTACCACATCAATTCTAAAAGATAACTACGGCATGCGACACTGTTGAAAAAATATTTTAATAGCAATATTAAATACATGTACATGTAGACTTACTGTTTGGGGAAGTGGTTCTTGATATACATCATCCTTGCTTGAGGTGCATGGTACCTCGTCAGAGACATGTGCCTACAAATATGAAGTAATCAATGAAATGCAGTTTTGTTAATCCTGTATCTTCCAATTGTTATTATTTGGATAGGAAAGTAATAGCACTCATTAACTTCTGGAGGAAAAATGACATAGGGTGACCATTTTTATTATCCACGTAACTAGTAAGAAGTCATAAAAAGAAACACATATTCACAATTTTATCATCTCAGTTGCCTGAACGAGAAAATGATATACACCTGCAGTCTATCAAAGGCAAACATTTCATGAATTAATGACATTTTCGCTTATCAAACATAATTCAAGCAATTTTAATAAAACGGCAAGTCCCAGAAAAAATGGAACTGAAGCTACATGTATACAGGAAAATACCTTGTAAAAAATTGTTCAAAGTATGACAGTTAATCTATAATTGCAAACTATTTCTCTTTAGTAGACTGAATTACTAACATATTCAAAGTGATGGATGTTTCAATGGAACATTTTACCATTAGAAATAAGACAATCAATAAGATCATCAATTGCAATATTTAAGAAGAAACTTTAATAAGCACCATTTGTTTTGTAGTAGTTTTAATATTGTATAATTATTTTGATGTTGTACAAGAGCGCCTTGAGCAGTCTTTTAGAATGGATACGTGCGCTTTACAAGTTGACATTATTATAATTATTATTGCATTATTTGCTGCTATGTCGAGCAAGCCTTCAAGAACAGCCTTTGTTTAAAAATATGAATACAATTTCAATATCTTAGTAATAGTAGTCTAATTAGTTAAAAATTAAACTGATCTAGTACAGTATTCACCAAGAAATGTAAAAGACATTCATTAATGGATCAGTTTAAACCTTCCATTAGTCTCCCACTTTGTACACATCATTGCAAAACTTGAATGCAATGTTAACTTTGTTAACTTGATGTTCTATGCAAAAGATCTCTAATTCTATGTTACCACCGGATCAAACCAAATTGGAGTTCACCTACATGTAACTGTTTATACAATTCTGGTTTCTATCTTTTACCTTCATACTTGATATGTTTTATTGGACCTATGTTGTCCATGCAAACAACATCAGGGAATAATTTTCCTCAAATTTTTTGATTAGCAATTTCAGCTGATGGATAAATATTTCAAATGAAATTCTGTACATTTCTATGGAAGAAAACTGTTACACAAAAGATATTTTGTATAGCAGTCATGCAAAAATGCAAAGCAAATTGCGATGCGATACCAGGAAAATTATTGTAAAAATGAATTAAATGTGCAAGTAGGCCTATTATGTTTACATGATAGCCTATGTAAACAATTTTTTTTTTTACCTTATTTCGTTTTCTTCTCCTCCATTCTCTTTGCTTGATTCTTTTCTTCAATGAAGATACCTATTTAAAAAAGAATCAATAACTTAACTTAATGCATTTTGAAGTATAGATGTAGATCTACACTACAAAAGAAAACAAAAATTCTCAGTGTTCTGATATGAACTTCGTGAAGTTTGGTCAAGCAGGATGCAACACAGGAACTTGTCAAATCCAAATGGGCAACTGATATACTTAAAAACATTAAACATGTCAATATCCATATGAGGCAAGCTCATCAATATTTAAAGAACATTGAATTTCCACTTTTATTAGGTTCTAATAAATTTCCAAACTATAAGCACAGTCATTATAAAAAACTGTTCCCAATTTTACAGCTACATGTACACTAAGTATGAGATTAAAAACAAAAATATTTAATTGTAGTACCCGGTAATAGTGAATCAATCCTTGGAGAAAAAAAAAGCCTTATTTGTTGCCTCAAAACGGTTTCAAATAAAATGCATGCCCACATGGGTTAGTGTTAACCAGAAGACAAAGAAGTAAAAGATAGTGCTCATAAAATAGGAGGATGAAAACAAAAATCAAAGGAAAAACTCAGAAACTGTATGGAAGCAAGTCCCAATTGTTTTTTTCTTCTATGGGTTTGAATTTGCAACTCCACCAATGTCAATTTTCAAAATTATTTTCTGATTAAGTAGACTGAAAAAATAAACAAGCTTAAATACAAACACTAAAATGTGAATGACGCCTAGAAAAGATCAACCCAAGTCCAATTTCTAATTTGTTTTGTTCTGATTTCCTTAATTATTAAAGGCATGTCAATTTTTTCTTCAGTTCAATAAAGTATCTGTTTTCTGAGATAAATGAGACAGAAAAATCATTAAATTTGGTTAAGCATTATATTGAATCTACATTATCAAGCATTCTAACGACTAGTGTACTGATACCAGCGCATGATTTACAAATGTTGCTGAAATAACATGATTTTACGGGATTTAAATGATATCACTTTTTAGTCGTTTATTGGAAAATGACGAATTCCAAAATTTACAGTCTTGCAAAGAATATGCAAATAAGCCTACATGTACATGTCGAGGCTCGTGGATTTGCGGAGGGCTAGAGCCACTCCCTCCTCACTTTTTTGAAATAGTTTTCTTTTTGCCAGTGTCACAAATAAGGTGTCGGGATGCTCATCTGACTGTAAATGAAATGCCTAAAACCCCCGAGCTTCAGGGGGGATCGGCCCCTAGACCCCATGCCAACTTACGCTCCACTCGCTTCGCTCACATATGCTCTACCCGATCATAAATAATTTAGCCCCCCGAGCCGGGATTACTCTCATATATGCTACACACCCATGTCCATCAACCTCTGAATTGCGTGGACCCTATGGCGTATCGCTGCACTATTGCACCTTTTCTGAAATGACCCTAGATTTAATTCTTAAAGAAAATTAACGTTGAAACATGTGAACCTGAAAGGTATAGATTCTACCCTTCTTTTGCTTTTTGTGTGATCAGTGCTGGAAAAACACTTTTTTAAGGAAAACGTCACACCACTGCACTGTATTGCTCAAAGTCAAACACCCTTTCAACATTTTTTTCTGGATCAACGCGGGTGCGTGGCCATGTTGGGAGTGACCCCTCGGGTCATTTAACATTAAGTATATCAATTATAAAAGCTTTAAAAATCATGTCTTTAATTTGAATTTTCTGAGGGAAGATGTCAGTTTTCCAACACACCTAAAAAAAAAATCATGGGAACCTGAAAACTAGTCTAAATTCACACATATTTTCAAGAAACACGATGATATGGGAGACTGCAGCTAGTATATTTAGATCAACAGTCACTGAAAGCTGTGCATATAAAGCATGAGGATGACATTGGACTGGAAATCATGCAAGCAATCCAAAGATCATTTGCAAAGTTAAGGCTAGTAAAAACAATACTTAATCAGTGCAATGGTCTCGATCACTAATTCTACAATGCTCACATAAATGTATTTACATTCATTGTAGTAACAACTATCTATCTTGAATGTCAATATAATATGCCAAAAATGTAGACAAATAATTGAATAGAACAAAAATTAACATACTGTTTGAGGAAGGGGTCCTTGAGAAGTGTCTGATGTCTCATCAGTCAGCAAATTAGCCTACAACAAAGAAACAAGAATTCAGTAAAATACATTTCATTTAACATTAAGTATATCAATTATAAAAGCTCTAAAATCATGTCTTTAATTTGAATTTTCTGAGGGAAGATGTCACTTTTGAAAACAGAATGCAATTCAAGAAAGAGAGAGAGAGAGAGACTGAAAGTCACACTGTTCTTTAAGGAATCTTTATCAGTATGGTTGAACAAGCTAGGTGAATTGTCAAAACAATTATACAGTGCGAGTAAAAAAAACGTTTACACCTAGAAAATTGCTAATTATTTTAAAAATCATCTATGAACAGTAAATTATTAAAAATCTCATGAAAGAGTGTTTTATCCCAAATCATTTGGTATCATTTTTGTGTGGTATGTGTTCACGCTTGGATGAACAGGAGTCATTGTTTGTGAGAGTGCAAAAATCGACTTGCGCCAAAGTGATGCCTACAGTATGTATTATGTTGAGATTAGCGGAGTGAGAGAATAATTATTGAATGTATCAAATGAAATGCATTGCATATGCTGTTTGCAAAGGGCAAAGTCACACACACCCACAAACATGCGCACAAATGTTTGTTGATATTCAATATTTGATATGTGAGGCATGATTAATTTTGTTAGGGATGTTATTTGGATCTCCAAAGACTGAATTAATACCCAAATCCCAATTGTTTATTCAAACATCACATAATCAACTTTGGCGCAAGTCGATTTTTGCACTCTCGCAAACAATGCCTCCTGTTCATCCTAGCATGAATACATACAACACAAAAATGGTACCAAATGATTTGGGATATAACACTCTTTCATAAGATGTATAATAATTTACTGTTCAAAGATGATTTTTTTTTTTAAATAGCAATTTTCTAGGTGTAAACTTTTTTTGACTCACACTGTATAAAAAACATTAAGAATTAACAGGGTTAACATTAACATTGATGTAACAATCCTAACTCTCCTATTCAATACTACAGACAAATTTGTACAGGAAGAGGAATTTCGAAATAGTTTTCTTTTTGCCAGTGTCACAAATCAGGTGTCGGGATGCTCATCTGACTGTAAATGAAATGCCTAAAACCCCTGAGCTTCAGGGGGGTTCGGCCCCTAGACCCCATGCCAACTTACGCTCCACTCGCTTCGCTCACATATGCTCTACCTGATCATAAATAATTTAGCCCCCCGAGCCGGGATTACTCTCATATACAAATGCTACACAAATTTGTACAGGAAGAGGAACACCTGCATTAAAATGATAATTATCTTCTCCCAAAAAGAGGAATGTTCCTCTTTAATCTGAACAATTGGCATGTATGGTAATGGATAACTCCTATATCTCCCTCCCAGTCATTCACCTTCACCCACAATCCATGATCTAAAACAGAACCCCATTATCCCTAGACATTACCCAATTATTTATAGACACTGACCCCATTATCTTGTTATAAACATTTGACCATTGATGACCATCCCAGAGAGTTATAACTTCAAGTAATGACATTCCAAGAACTATGACTCATTGAGTAACGAAGCTGTGACATCATAACAATCTATTTTAAGGATTTCTCAATTTTTTTCTTCATTTTCCGAAAAAGCTTTAAAAATGATGTCCTAATGTTGATAACCAATATATGTTAAAGGTAATAGAAAGTTTTTGGCAATTCTGAAAAATTGGCTGGATAGAGATTCTTTACAATTTTGATGCATTTGTATGTCCATGTAGTTGTATTAGAAGCACTACAAAAATTTAGCCCATAAAATATTGAATATCAAAATTTCAAATAGTGCCTACGGCCATACAATGGTAGCTGCAACCATAAAAATCTCAGAATATGTAGATATATAGGCTAATTTCCAAACAAAAATACCCAATTGGTCTATTTTAGTCAAGAAACATTGTTTTATATCAAAATTAATATCTTGAACTTGAGAGGGAGCTATACAACATACAGAGTTTATTATTTACAATTTCATCACTTTAGACTCGATTTCAACCGCGACCAACGATTACTGAATATTGTAGGATATGCTTCCAATATGTTCATATAAACCAAATTCACGACCCCATACCAAAACTTTGTATTACCGTATAAAGTATTGGCTGAGAAATGACCATCTGAATAAATATATTTCCTATAGGAACTCAGTGTTACATTGCTCTGGTTCATAACATTATGAACCAGAGCAAATTAACACTGATTTCCTATAGGAAATATATTTATTCAGATGCTCATATCTCAGCCAATACTAGAAATATCCAATTGATTTTCGATATTTGGACATTATTTTTGATGCTCTTTTGGAAAAAGAAGAAAAAAAAGAAAAAAATTCTAAAAATAGATTTTTGATGACGTCACACTTTACCACTCTATAGGCTCACCCCAAGTCACTGGCACTCTCCATTGCCACCCCTTAATACCATATCAACCCTGATAGACAGTTTAAAGGGCAAGTCTACTCCAAAAATTAATAATTATGAATTTTTGATTACATGAAAAACCTTAAAAATCACAAGAAAAATCGGCAACTCACCCATAAGTCTGTGACAGAAAATGTTGGTAGTTTTTTTAGTAAAGGTGAAAATTGGAGGGGAGCTCGCAAGATATGTCGCAAGGTTGCCAATTTCTGTTTGATGATCACATCTTTAAAAATTCATAACTATATCATTTCTAATAGGTTTTTGTACACCCATTAATGGTATTTCTATCAAAAATATCTAAAATTATGACCTTCTGCTCACGAAACTAATGATCATCTCACTTTGATCTTTAGAGTTGATCACATTTCATGTGTAAAAGTTCTTTGTGGTGTGATCGAATGTTCCAGTTCTAATTTTAGAGCAAATTTAGTAGTCAAGCATGGGATGGGGAAAATTCCATCAATCTTCTATTAATATTTGTTGTGACGTATGGTCAGCCAAAAAAAAAATTCAAAGAGCATAAAAGATCTGTCAAGCTTCTTGCCTGTTCTAATCAAAACTTTATCAGGGACATCTTGCATTACCTAAAGAATTTAATGCAAGTCAAAGATTTAAAAGTCAAACAAATTCATTGATTCTTAATGTTTAGTTACAAGAGACCAATGGTATTACTGGATGGAGTTTTTTTTTCTTCTCCCCTATTAACTTTCATGAGTACTTTCATGGATTTATCAATAAAGCTATCGTTACCCTATTTCTCTTTCATCTTTTTAAATACGTAAACATTTCATGAGTACCACTGATTTATAAATTAGCCATGCTGGTCTATTAAAAAATTATCATTACCACATTACGCTTTCTTCTTCTCCTCTCTCTTTGCTTTCTCCTTTTCTTTTCTGATGGATTCTCCTGAAAAGAAGACAACAACAAAAGTTAAATCATCAACTTGCTTTGTCAGAGAATGGAACATATCAATGTTGAATCCAAATAGCTCCTAAGTACATCACAAATTGCATCCAATCTACCATGCTCTAATGTAAACACTGAAACAGACTCTCAGATTTAAATGATTATTTTCTCTATACTGCTAATATGGGTATTTACAGAAAAAAAGAAAGAAAATATACAACGATGTAACCTATACTGGTACTTTTAAATCTCATAATATCAATATCACTTTTTTAAATACTTGTTGTAATGAGAACTAGATTGTTCTTTGCGGTGTCACTATCTAGTGTGAGAATATTGATCAACTTTCAATTGTTTCTTATGATATCAAACTTATTTCCTCTACTAAATAAAGATGCCAAAATTATGTTTTCTGAAATACATTACAGCAAGGAAAATACAGTTGCATTATTACCCTACTCTTTTCAAAATTTGAATGAATGTAATATGTTCTTAAAACAAATAAATAAACAAATACATAAATAAATTGATATACCAGTGAAATATAAAGTAATACATGAATTACTTTATTGTAATTATTTAGTAATTGGACCAAATATGACAATAAAATCCAGCCTGGAATTCAAAACAAATAATTGATTTGCAACTAATGACACTTTAAAAGCACTGAAGAACAAGATACTTACTTTTGGGGTAAGTGATCCTTGATATGCAGCTGGCTGACTTGAGGTGCATGGTGCCTCTACAGAGACCAATGCCTACAAATAGGAAGAACAAAACGAAGAACAAAATTCAGCATTTTGCGATCCTCATTTACATAGGTGTGAATCCTCTTTTGGCATAAATGTACATATATTTTGGTAATCTGTACCACATCAATTCTAAAAGATAACTACGGCATGCGACACTGTTGAAAAAATATTTTAATAGCAATATTAAATACATGTACATGTAGACTTACTGTTTGGGGAAGTGGTTCTTGATATACATCATCCTTGCTTGAGGTGCATGGTACCTCGTCAGAGACATGTGCCTACAAATATGAAGTAATCAATGAAATGCAGTTTTGTTAATCCTGTATCTTCCAATTGTTATTATTTGGATAGGAAAGTAATAGCACTCATTAACTTCTGGAGGAAAAATGACATAGGGTGACCATTTTTATTATCCACGTAACTAGTAAGAAGTCATAAAAAGAAACACATATTCACAATTTTATCATCTCAGTTGCCTGAACGAGAAAATGATATACACCTGCAGTCTATCAAAGGCAAACATTTCATGAATTAATGACATTTTCGCTTATCAAACATAATTCAAGCAATTTTAATAAAACGGCAAGTCCCAGAAAAAATGGAACTGAAGCTACATGTATACAGGAAAATACCTTGTAAAAAATTGTTCAAAGTATGACAGTTAATCTATAATTGCAAACTATTTCTCTTTAGTAGACTGAATTACTAACATATTCAAAGTGATGGATGTTTCAATGGAACATTTTACCATTAGAAATAAGACAATCAATAAGATCATCAATTGCAATATTTAAGAAGAAACTTTAATAAGCACCATTTGTTTTGTAGTAGTTTTAATATTGTATAATTATTTTGATGTTGTACAAGAGCGCCTTGAGCAGTCTTTTAGAATGGATACGTGCGCTTTACAAGTTGACATTATTATAATTATTATTGCATTATTTGCTGCTATGTCGAGCAAGCCTTCAAGAACAGCCTTTGTTTAAAAATATGAATACAATTTCAATATCTTAGTAATAGTAGTCTAATTAGTTAAAAATTAAACTGATCTAGTACAGTATTCACCAAGAAATGTAAAAGACATTCATTAATGGATCAGTTTAAACCTTCCATTAGTCTCCCACTTTGTACACATCATTGCAAAACTTGAATGCAATGTTAACTTTGTTAACTTGATGTTCTATGCAAAAGATCTCTAATTCTATGTTACCACCGGATCAAACCAAATTGGAGTTCACCTACATGTAACTGTTTATACAATTCTGGTTTCTATCTTTTACCTTCATACTTGATATGTTTTATTGGACCTATGTTGTCCATGCAAACAACATCAGGGAATAATTTTCCTCAAATTTTTTGATTAGCAATTTCAGCTGATGGATAAATATTTCAAATGAAATTCTGTACATTTCTATGGAAGAAAACTGTTACACAAAAGATATTTTGTATAGCAGTCATGCAAAAATGCAAAGCAAATTGCGATGCGATACCAGGAAAATTATTGTAAAAATGAATTAAATGTGCAAGTAGGCCTATTATGTTTACATGATAGCCTATGTAAACAATTTTTTTTTTTACCTTATTTCGTTTTCTTCTCCTCCATTCTCTTTGCTTGATTCTTTTCTTCAATGAAGATACCTATTTAAAAAAGAATCAATAACTTAACTTAATGCATTTTGAAGTATAGATGTAGATCTACACTACAAAAGAAAACAAAAATTCTCAGTGTTCTGATATGAACTTCGTGAAGTTTGGTCAAGCAGGATGCAACACAGGAACTTGTCAAATCCAAATGGGCAACTGATATACTTAAAAACATTAAACATGTCAATATCCATATGAGGCAAGCTCATCAATATTTAAAGAACATTGAATTTCCACTTTTATTAGGTTCTAATAAATTTCCAAACTATAAGCACAGTCATTATAAAAAACTGTTCCCAATTTTACAGCTACATGTACACTAAGTATGAGATTAAAAACAAAAATATTTAATTGTAGTACCCGGTAATAGTGAATCAATCCTTGGAGAAAAAAAAAGCCTTATTTGTTGCCTCAAAACGGTTTCAAATAAAATGCATGCCCACATGGGTTAGTGTTAACCAGAAGACAAAGAAGTAAAAGATAGTGCTCATAAAATAGGAGGATGAAAACAAAAATCAAAGGAAAAACTCAGAAACTGTATGGAAGCAAGTCCCAATTGTTTTTTTCTTCTATGGGTTTGAATTTGCAACTCCACCAATGTCAATTTTCAAAATTATTTTCTGATTAAGTAGACTGAAAAAATAAACAAGCTTAAATACAAACACTAAAATGTGAATGACGCCTAGAAAAGATCAACCCAAGTCCAATTTCTAATTTGTTTTGTTCTGATTTCCTTAATTATTAAAGGCATGTCAATTTTTTCTTCAGTTCAATAAAGTATCTGTTTTCTGAGATAAATGAGACAGAAAAATCATTAAATTTGGTTAAGCATTATATTGAATCTACATTATCAAGCATTCTAACGACTAGTGTACTGATACCAGCGCATGATTTACAAATGTTGCTGAAATAACATGATTTTACGGGATTTAAATGATATCACTTTTTAGTCGTTTATTGGAAAATGACGAATTCCAAAATTTACAGTCTTGCAAAGAATATGCAAATAAGCCTACATGTACATGTCGAGGCTCGTGGATTTGCGGAGGGCTAGAGCCACTCCCTCCTCACTTTTTTGAAATAGTTTTCTTTTTGCCAGTGTCACAAATAAGGTGTCGGGATGCTCATCTGACTGTAAATGAAATGCCTAAAACCCCCGAGCTTCAGGGGGGATCGGCCCCTAGACCCCATGCCAACTTACGCTCCACTCGCTTCGCTCACATATGCTCTACCCGATCATAAATAATTTAGCCCCCCGAGCCGGGATTACTCTCATATATGCTACACACCCATGTCCATCAACCTCTGAATTGCGTGGACCCTATGGCGTATCGCTGCACTATTGCACCTTTTCTGAAATGACCCTAGATTTAATTCTTAAAGAAAATTAACGTTGAAACATGTGAACCTGAAAGGTATAGATTCTACCCTTCTTTTGCTTTTTGTGTGATCAGTGCTGGAAAAACACTTTTTTAAGGAAAACGTCACACCACTGCACTGTATTGCTCAAAGTCAAACACCCTTTCAACATTTTTTTCTGGATCAACGCGGGTGCGTGGCCATGTTGGGAGTGACCCCTCGGGATGGGAGCCACCCCCCCCCCCCCCCCCCCCCCCCACTTTGAAAAATTTAATGCGGGGCCTGCATGTTAATATTGTTAATTGTGAGAATTGAAGGGCTGATGAGCATTTTTTTCCAATCCCCTAAAATGATTTTGATCATAATTAATCACGCCAGGTCGACCTGGGCCTCTAATGCACTATTCATGTCTACATATTCTGATCGTGATCAGACCTAACTTAGATCTATGTCTAATCAAGATTCAAGTGAAGTGGAAGTAAATCTAACTCATGGCTAAACAAATAGATCTAGGCCTAACTTTAGTTAGATCTACATGTACATGTACCGATGTACATGTACAGTACATGTAGATGCCTACCGTACAGCCAGGTTAACCTTAACTTAACAAGGATGAAGAACAATCAACTTAATGTACATCTAGCCCCAATAGCCAATTACAGTGAAAGGAGAGTTAGTTTGAGTTTCCTTGCATGAAGTTTAACGATACTTTCTAACTTTACTAACAGTTGGCCTAGATCTAGACGTCGATTGTCTAAGTAGTAACGGTTACATACCCTTTTCCTGCGCACAGGTTGACAGCCTTCATCAGAAGATGACATTCCTTCAGGAGATGTTCCTTCCAATTCCATCTCCTCCATCACTGCTGAGGTACTGCACTACTACTGGATCACTTAGGCCTATAGCTAGCTAGTAGCTACCACTCGAGCTTAGGTACTACTAGGTAGCTCTTTTCGACTGAATAATGAAAAGCCCGGGCTAAACTAGCTGGGAAAGAAAGGAGCGAGCGCGAGCGAATACACACGGATATATAATATTATTTAGCGCCTACAGGCCAGCACATGCTTGCCGGCCATGCGTTCATCAGCCTCGATCCCTTTAATTGGAGATGGTCAAATATTCACTATTCGTCTCGACCATAGGCCTAGTCTAATAATCAATTCGTCTTCTTATAATTATCCTTTGGTTTAATGATCATTTAGGCTAACAATAACAATAATTTGGTAAAATTTCCATTTGGTCCAAACTCGATTAAATCTAGATCTAAGTTAGAGTTCTAGTCTACTAGTAGTAGTAGTAGTTGATGTGCAAGCTCAATACTATACAATTACCTTTGCCTTTTAATGATATGTTCCTAAGACTAAGTAAATCTAAGAAATGATTCGATTCATATACTTCACTCGTCAGGAGAGCTCTCATTTCATCTACCATTAAATAGTACATCTTTTGCACAAAAGTCATTTGTTTTTACAGGTCCAAAACTGTGGAATTCTCTTTAAAGTGATATTAGACAGTGTAAATCGATACAAATTTTCAAAAAGAGACTTCAAGGCTTTCTTCTGAATAGTGACTAGGTTATTGCCCCATTCAATTAAATACAATTTGTAATTGTAGTGTGACTTTATGCAACTTTGATGATTGTGTAACTTTGAATGTTGTTTTTTTTTAAAATGTATATATATACATGTACCTGTACCCAGTGGCGTACGCAGGATACATACATACAGACATATTGGTATTTATTTAGCGCCTTTACATGATGCATGCTCAAGGCGCTTTACCGTATTTTAAAATACAAACACAATAGGATTTTTTTCAAGGGGGGGGGGGGTTCCCAAAAAACATACATAAAGCATACACATAAAAAAAAAAAACTCGAGGGGGGGGGGTAACCCCAACCCCCCCCCCCCCCCCCCCCCCTGCGTACGCGCCTGCCTGTACCTGTAGACTCTATGTATTTATCATTGTTTTGCGTTTTAAATAGATTTTTGTATTACTGAATCAGTTATTGTTATTGTTGTGTGTGTTTTTTTCATAAAATAATAATTCATAATAATTACTTTTACAGGGGGGCCTACACCCTGCAAGCTCTGCTTTTTTTAGTCGGCCTCCTTCCTTTTCAGTTTCATGTTTATTGTTTATTGTGCAAGTTGATCTATATGTGTATATATGTGAATATATTAAAATTTACCATCATAATGATTGTAAATATGGACAATTGAGGAAAAATAAATGAATTGAATTGAATTGAATGCTCACTTGATCAGTCTAATTTCCATTTGGTATAACCTCCAATCGGTCCTTAATTATTGCTCATTTAGTATAATTTTTAGCTCGGTCTAATTCCAAGTTTGTATACTAGTAATACATTTCATTTTGTCTATATATAGGCCCTATCCATAGGCCTATGGTATAAAATAATCATTTAATCTAGCCATTGTAATAATAATAATAATCAAATGGTTAATTAGGACCTATTACGGATGGTACATGATCGAATAAATGAATTTCTGAAAGCAGGAATTGCTCCATGGAATTTCCTGACAATTATAACGCCGGGTGTTCAATACTGCGATCTTGCTCTTATTATTTCCATCCACTCAGCTAGTTTAGCTATATTATTACTAGTAACTATTGTACTCTAGGTTGTTTCATTAATCTTCACTGTTTTAAGTACTCGGCAGCACTCGACCTAAAAGTAACAACTCAAATTAAGGCATCCCCCCTCCCCCGACCCCCACCCGGTACCGGCATGCACCCCGGCCCTTCAAACACATTTAAACACGTACGCACACACGCACGCGCACACACGTCAAATTGTGAACCCTGCTCTTCCAGCGATTGGTTGAAAGTATCTCGTGTATGTTACGTACGTTCGCGATCTATCGCACCTTTGCACAGTCGGATTATGCTGAATGGAAAAAAGCTTTAGAGGGCGCTGTTTATTTCTACTTTATCTGTATCCACTGTGTTTCTATTCCAGCTTAAGTTAAATAAAACCGTATTCTGGTATTTTAGAGTAACCATTTTGTAACCATCCCCATCATAGAGATATTTTCCTAACATATCTCTTACTTTCTTTCTTTCTTGGTTTCGTTTTCTTTGTTCCTTAATCAATCGTAACCATAAACCCTTACTGTAACAATTATGAACCCGAACTCAAATCATACTACCACAATTAATGCACAATGTTATCACCACCAGCAAAGTCACCATCAACACCACCACCTGTACTGACTATACTGGCTACCAGCGCCGCAGCCAGAGTTTGATGTTTTATTTTTTATTTTATTTATTTATTTATTTTTTATTATTATTATTATTATTATTATTATTATTATTATTATTATTATTTTTTTTTTTTTTTGGGGGGGGGGGGCAAATACATGTAATTGATCGACGTCCTGGAGAGGGGTCTAAAAAAGTTCAACCGATCATGGAAATTTTTGAGGGGCACGTGCCCCCCGTGCCCCCCCCCCCACGGCTACGTGCCTGCTGGCTATTCCACTACTATTACTCCTACTGCTACTACTACTACTACTACTACTACTGCTACTACTATTATTTTTTACTTACATCCATCATCTTTCTCATTTTCTGTAATTTCTCTCTAGATCATCCTTATTGTTCTTGCAACTGAAACTAATTATAATACTTACGTTCTCCTTCATAGCCCCAAACTCAACATGCCCAGCTCTATGTCGACTAGCGGCACCATTATCATTGCCATGCACAGCTAATTTGATTTTATTTTGAAATCATATCAAAATATAAATATTCCTTGTAATATTCTAATATTGTAGCATCTCTTCACCATTTCTCTCTCTCTCTTTCTTGTTCATTCTTTTTTCTGTTATTCTTTATTTGCCTTTCCTTGTTCTATATCAGTCTTCACTCATCATCTACTACTACTACAACTACTAATACTACTATTACTACTACTGCTACTATTTACTTACGTCCCTCTTCCTCATTTTCTCTAATTTCTCTCTAGATCATCCTTAGTTCTTGCAACTGAAACTAATTAGAATACGTACGTTACCCCCTCATAGCCCAACCTCAACATGTCATCACCATTATCCTTACCACTGCTAAGTTGATTTTATTTTCAAATCAAATTAAATCATAAAATATTCGTTTATATATTATAAGTACTCATTTTTCACCATTTCTCTCTTTCTTTATTGTTCATTCTTTTTTCTTTTATTCTTTATTTGCCTTTCCTTGTTCTATATCAGTCTTCATTCATCATCTGCTACTACTGCAACTACTGCTACTGCTACTATTACTACTACTGCTACTATTTACTCACGTCCCTCTTCCTCATTTTTTCTAATTTCTCTCTAGATCATCCTTAGTTCTTGCAATTGAAACTAATTGAAATACGTACGTTACCCCCTTCACAGCCCAACCTCAACATGTCAACACCATTATCATTACCACTGCTAAGTTGATTTCATTTTCAAATCAAATTAAATCATAAAATATTCGTTTATATATTATAAGTACTCATTTTTCACCATTTCTCTCTTTCTTTATTGTTCATTCTTTTTTCTTTTATTCTTTATTTGCCTTTCCTTGTTCTATATCAGTCTTCATTCATCATCTGCTACTACTGCAACTACTGCTACTGCTACTATTACTACTACTGCTACTATTTACTCACGTCCCTCTTCCTCATTTTTTCTAATTTCTCTCTAGATCATCCTTAGTTCTTGCAATTGAAACTAATTGAAATACGTACGTTACCCCCTTCACAGCCCAACCTCAACATGTCAACACCATTATCATTACCACTGCTAAGTTGATTTCATTTTCAAATCAAATTAAATCATAAAATATTCGTTTATATATTATAAGTACTCATTGTTCACTATTTCTCTTTCTTTCCTTTTCATTTTTTGTTCATTCTTTATTTTCCTTCCATTGTTCTGTAATATTCTTCGCTCGTCATTTTCTCTTACAACTGAACAAAATTTTGCTACAACACTTTTTCACATTTTTCTAACCTATAGTACAGGTGCTTCCACGATAAACAGACTACCACAACCTAACTATAACCACCATTTCCACTACTACTACAGTAATAATACTACAACTACTACTACTACTAACAGGGCCTACTGAGTATTACTACTACTATACTACTACTACTACTACTACTACTACTACTACTACTACTATTACTACTACTACTACTATCATTATTCCCTCTCTTGCCTTCTCATATACGTCCCTCTTTCTCATTTTCTTTAATTTCTCTCTATATAGGTCCATCTTAATTGGTTCTTGCAATTGAAACTAATTATATAATACGTTATCCTTCATAACCCCAACCTCAACATGTCCCAATCGTTTTCGACTAGCGGCACCGTCTACACCATTACCACACTGCTAAGTCTATTTTATTTTGATATCGTATCAAAATGTAAATACTCCTTCTAATATTTTAATTGTACCATCTCTTCACCATTTCTCTATTTCTTTGCTTTTTATTCTTTTTTTTATGTCGTTCTTTCATTCTTTATTTTTCTTTCATAGTTCTATATCATTCTTCGCTCATCATTTTGCTACAATACAATTCCCACCTTCTTCTAACACTATAGCAGTACAAGGTACTTTAACGCTAACCAGACTCAGTACCACAACCCTAACCACCGCCTCCACTACCACCACCACTACTACTAACACTATACTACTCTTACAACTACGATTTCTATACAGATATTTCATATTTAAATCGTGTATAAAATTAATTTTTAATGATTTGGTTTTCAAGACCGAATTAAAGGTTAATCACAATATTTGTGTAGAACTTTCTAGATTACAGATGAACAGGAAAGTAGAATATATCTGTATTTTCTTTAACACGTCATAATTATTTCTTTTTGCTTACGGTTTCAAAGCAAAAACAGATAAGCTTTTGATCGTCATTAACTTCTAGCTTGGTGTAGGCTACTTATGATATTTCAAAGGTTGAATTGATTGCAGAAGAGTGTACACTTTTGCTGTGCAACATCCGTCGGCACGACATTCCTTATTGGTATTTTTTGGTTTGAAATTTTCGAAAGAAAAGTTTTCAAAATTGAGCTGAAAATGATGTTTTAAATTTGAACTTCAACAGGTGTCAATGGGATTGTGGATTGTGAGTATTGAATATTAGTCTTTAAGACACCTCGGGATTCCTTCCAATCTATATTTATATATTCGTTCACCAAAGTGAATTCGTTAGCCAGCCTCATTAAAGATGCAAATTTTCACGACTGGAAGAAAAGGGGATGGAAAAGCGTTGTGAAGTATATTCATACTGTAATCTATAGTAATGTGTTTCTTGTGTAACAAAGGGTTGATTTTTGCCTAAAAATTAAAATAATTTTTTTTTTTACAAAAGTTAACACTTGTGTGACGGAAAAAAATGGATTCTCTTCTTGAGGTTACAAGTAATTTACTCCATTTTATATATTGTGTATATTTCTGAATTACATGACAATGTATTCAAGCTTGTACTTGTAATATCTACCATTTAAATATTTTCACTTTTAAGCCTCTTGTCATATAATATTAAAAAGCAATTAATGATTTCTAGTCTC